ACTTTGAGTATTCTGAGGACTTTCGTTGGACTCCCGCAGGACTCGAAACCTCCACAGAAGTCCCACGGGAGTCTTCAGGAGTCCTGAGAAATCCCTTGAAAGTCCCACCTGACTCCTACAGGATCCTACAGGATCCCGCAGGACCCCGTGACAGGAGTCCCGTGGGAGTTTTGCCGGGAGTCTCGACTAGGGTGAGTTGCTAATAACTCCATAACCACTTGTAACTGTGAGTTAATTTTTTCAGTGGTAGTGAGCTTAGTTAAGATAAATAACACATAAAAATTTCGTTAAGATTCATTCACTAACAAAAAGTTACAGCATTTTTACATGTCGGATATGAACGGTACAATGGCAGCGCAAAGTCGCTCATGTACAGATGTATGTGAATGAAGAGACATGCAGTAATCTTGCATGCCCGAGATGGATACTGTGAATCACGCAGATTATTTGTTTGATGTAAGAGTCATTGGCGAAAAATTTAACGCATTAGCTGTAAAAATACGAATATATACAGAATATGCTGCAGGGGTCGCTGTCATCTGATGATACACTGCGACAGAAAAAAATAATGAAAGAGACAATTTTACTTTAACTAGATGCCCGCACAATAAAAATTCAGTCGACATGGATATTCCAAAATGAAAAGTAGCTAATTAGCGAATTTTACTTTCAGTTTTCAGTTTTCATTTTTTCTTCGGTGTTAACGTTAGTACCACACTGAGTAAGACAGTCTTATAATATACGACTCTGTCTTAGCACCTCTGACACGAGGTGGAAATGAATCAGATCGAAAACTTTGAAAAATATCTGGAGGAAACTGTAATGTTTATATACCTGTTACGCTGACAAAACAAAATGGTAACAATATAAAATGCTATCTAGGGACTTAGTTTCGAGTAGAGGGCACGCTCTAGAGAACTGCACTACCCTCCGAAACCCGATTCCAACTCCGACACCGGGAATCGGAATCGACAATTTGAAAATTTTCGGCGTCGGAGCTGGAAGTGGAATCGCAAAAAAATATTTTTCGGAGTCGGAGCCGGACCTAAAAAGAAGGATTTTTCGGAGTTAAAATCGGGGTCCGTTGACAAGACTAATAAAATTGTTTATTTTTGCTCCATAAAGAAGGGTATTCATAAAGGTTATTTTAATATATGAATCATACTTTTTAGTTGATAAATAAATTTCAAGAAATAATGTTGACATAACAAGGATATTCAGATTAGTCATCCACATGAAAATAACATATTAATCTAAGAAAATTTCTGAATCTAATTCTCTGAAACTATCATCAATATCTAGACGTGGTTTTTTTTGAACTGTGCAGATAGATTCTTCAGAATTTACTGTTGTTGTTGAAGTCATTGAGATAGTTCGTTTTCGATTATTAGTAGAATTTAATTGTTTCAAAGTATTCATGTTTTTCTGTAAGAACAATAACTTTTGCATTAGCGCAAAATCGACTTTTTATACGGGGAACAAAATCGGTTCAAATTTCTTTTCTGAAGAGCTTATTATGTGAATCGACGGGCAGCAAAGTATCTCTTGATTCAAATCACTTTTCACATTTTGGCGCGAATAGTAGCGCGTTTTAAGTGGCGCCACTATTCGCGCCAAAATACGAAAAGGGATTTGAATCAAGAGATATTTTGCTGCCGGTCGATTCACATAATAAGCTCTTCAGAAAAAAAATTTGAACCGATTCTGTTCCCCGTATAAAAAGTCGGTTTTACGCTAATGTGTCACAACGAGTTATTCACTTTTTTGATTTTTTGCTATATTGTAAATCTATTTCTGTTGAATTGTAGCCATATATGATCTGTTCTAACATAATCTTTGTTTTAAATAAATCTATGTTCAATAATTAGATAGATCATTGTCCATTATTCAGGAGAAAATTTTTCATGAGATATTTCAAACGTCATTGTAAAGGCAACGATCAAAAATAACTAAGATTATTTAAAGCTAATATAGAAAACGAAGCTAAACGTTTGAATTAGACGTTACTTTCTTGATATTCTGGGTGTTTTATCGTTTATTTACTCTGGTTTCAGAAAAACTGGAATTTATCTCGAAACTGAGAAGTCGTCTCTGCCTCAAGATTAGTCTATACATATATGGCAGTTACCTCTTACAAGTGAATTGATTCCTAATTTGTTAACAAAGATTTTGTCTGTGTCTTCATTTCCTGTAAATAATTCGGCTAATATATAGAAATTGGGATTTATCTCACGCGCATAATCCATGAGCATCTAAAATGAAAAAATAAAATTAATAGAAGAAGAGGGAGAAAGATGGGAAGACTTACTTGTGCGACCACAAGTGGGGTTGAATGGCAGTTATCCAATCTACATCCATGAAATGTTGTCGCTACTAATCTGGTATATTCTTTCATATAATCCCATAGTGCTGGACAATCTTCATAACATGTTCCAAATCTAAGTTTAACAATATCAGACCATTGCACTAGTTCACGACGAAAATAAACATCTTCACCTGAACAAACAAATTTAAATATTGGAATTAAATTTAGTAAAAAACTAGTTGAACGTTTTCATTTCTGTACTTTTACCTTCTTCCGCAAAGTTTCTGAGTGGATTATCATCTATAATCCATCCGTTGTGCCATAGTATATTGCTGACAGGTTTCATCAGTATCGATTAATCTTTCGATTTCTTCTGGAAGCATAAACTCTCAGTTTGGATACGCAAAATAATTTCCAACAAACGGCGTTTTTACACTAATTTGCTCATATTTCAGTCTATCGGGAGAAAAAATGGTAACGACATCCAGCTAATGCATTATCAACTGCTTGAACTAAATTTTTTTGAACTTTATCATATTGTAATTGGTTTAAATAGAGTAAACGATGACGAAGTGAGGAACATGCCTGGTCGACTGCGTCACTTGATGACGATTGAGAGTGACTAAAACGGAATGCAAAAAACACAACTGAATTATACGAATGGATTGTATTTGCTACATACTGTTTGTAAAAGTAGATTTGTCCGGCTATTTGTAAATCGACTTTTGCCTTTAATCTTTTATATGTTCCATGTTTCAACTGTAATTTATGTTCTTCTGCATCACATTGTTGTACATCGGATATTTGTGCATGTTCTTTTATTAATTCTTGTCGAAATTCTTCACATAACTCATCCACATGACACTGATAATATTCCCGCAGTCTATAACGAGGTAACTCGCATTCCAATAAATAATGTCGAATACTCTAAATACAAAAATTTAATTTGAAACAAACTTTACAAATTTACCTAATACAAATTGGCTAACCAGATTTGAGTAAGTAATTCTTATTATAATGATAAGGGAGCTTAAATCTATAAAACGTACCTCTTAAAGGAACCTACATTCGCACAGCCGAGATCCAAGATAAAAAAGGAAGGAACCATCGCCATCAACATCGTTACGAAAACTTGTATTCCGGATAAATATGGAAAATTGTATACAATTGAAACAAGACAAATTTTCTCCTAAAAATTTCTTACAAGTCCAAAGTTCGAGTAACAGGGAACCTTTCGATATCAATCAGTCCTTATAACATAATCTTCAAAATATCGGTCATCAAGAGTATGTGGATGATGCTATTCAAAAATATTGTTACGCTATTTCTCCTTTTACACGCACTTTTTCTTTGTTAGTCGTTAGATCATATAGTAAATTGTGTATAGGAGAAAATTTCTTATAAATTCAAAGTTCAGGTAAGAGAAAACCTTTTGATTTCTCATTCTTAAACGCTTTAATTTCCTGTTCAGGATATGTGGTACTCGCGACAGAACACGGGCTTCGTTTGTTGTTTAATGCTACAGAAGTCCATGTTGATGGCAACTTTAAAGTTGCACCAACGTCATAGGCAGGCGGAACACATCTTTTTACACAATTATTCTCATTTTTCGGTCTATTCCATAATAAAATATTACCATTGGCGTTTGTCTTTTTTAATGGAAAATCGAAAAAAAAATACTCAAAATTATTACGTTGTCTGAAAGATAAAGCATTCGCGTTAATGTTATTTGCACCCGATAAAATAGTGCTCGATTTTGAAACTGGTCTAGTACCAGCGATTCAAGACGAGTTTCCATTATCGGAGATAATAGGATGTAATTTCCATTTCAATCAGGCCTTATATCGTAATCTTCAAAATCTCGGTTTGCAACAAGAGTATGTGGATGATGAAGCTGTTCGAAAATATTGTAAGCTACATTGTTTTTTCTCTTGCTTGATTACTCTTCAGTAGTATGTTTTCTGAAATAGTTCGTATGATATCAGGCATCCCATTTCTACCAACACATTTAGTACAATCGACCTATGATGAAGTAGTTGATTCGACACCATTACGTATGCGACATAAAATGCAACCGTTTTATCATTATTTTTCAAACACGTGGTTAAATGGACAGTATGCTATTGAAGTATGGAATGTTTATGGTCAAGACAGACGAACAAATAATGATGTTGAATCATAGCATTCTAAGTTGTCACGTCTACTACAAACACAACCGACTGTATGGAGATTGATTGAAACACTTCAAGCACAATACGTTTTAGTTCAACATGATATTGAACGTTTACGTGCCGGAACATATAAAGGTCGAAAAAATTTAAAATATCAAAAACTGAACAGAACAGGACAACGTATAACGGATAATTTTAATCTAGGTCTAACTCAACCGTTAGATTTTGTTTTAGCAATTGGAAGATGTTTTGCTGCTGCTAAACGTGCTTAACAGCATTTCTTAAAAATGAAACTGCTTTGTCAAAATAATGCTCACAAGTTTTTGATGTTACAATAAAAGATTACTAACCACTGAGAATTAATCTCAAACAGTGGTGACGGAAACAATTCAAATGTTTCAAAATATTTTGAGGAATGAGTTCTGTAATTGAAAACGTACCCAAATAAGACGCATTAAACTAAGACACACTAAAATGAGAATGCGCTCAAATGAGACGCACTAAAATGAGACGCGCTAAAATGAGAACGCACTCAGATGAGAACGCACTCAAATGAGACGCGCTAGAAAAACACGCACTCAAATGACGCCCCACCGATTTATTCAACAATGCAGTGTACAATTTGAAGTTTGATGATGTAACGAATCGTCCAAATTCGAGACTAGATGTCGAAAATATCCAATAGTTAAGAAAAAAACTTAATAAAGATAAATTAAGAAATAAAAGAAAAGGTGTCAACAATATGCAAAAGAGGTTAAGGTACCAAAAGATTATTTGATACGATAAAGTCGTCATCAAGAATGGTTGGAAACATGGTTTGGTATACAGAACGGTATCAGAATTCGGCGAAATGAGAATCTAGTAACATTGTACCTTGCATTGTCCTCAAAATTTTTGTTTTTGCTTGGCCCCATAATGATTCCATCAGTTGAGTATGGCATATAGTGAACGACATATCAGCATTTACGTAAATTAGATTACAAAACACTAGAAGCGGAACGATTTCCTTTATGTAATCTTTGGCGTCTTTTTTCTTCAATTTTTTATGTGAGGAACGCTTTTTTGATACATAGAACTCCAGCTATAATGTCACCGATACTTATCGATGGAACGCTTGATAATTGCTAATTTTTGCCTCTTAATGTGGCAACATACCGCGAACGGAGATAGATGAAGTCAGAAAAAAATTTCATCATTATACTTTGACATGGACAACATTTCAAAAAAGTTGTTCATATTGGATTTGTAGTTTCTGAAATAGGTTTTTGACAGGGGATAATTTAAAACATGTAAAATTTTCGTAGGAATAAATGAATCTTTTCCATCACCTAATTTATCGATGAATTTTCATAATGCTGGATATAAGAATTACGAATGATCGATTAGTTAGTTTATTCAGAATAATGTATGACGTTCGTTGAGCAGTTTATATTAGAGATAATAGCATAATAGTCAAACAACGCAAACAAACAAGAAATATCAACATTCAGTCTATACTATACTATCAAATATAAATTTTAAATCCACATACAGATATAATTCAATTTATCAAAATATAATATAACTTATAATTTCTCTTAAATAAATATTTTTTTCTTGAATAATCATTATTTCCATTTCTGATTTAAACTTTAATGCTGTCCTCAATTCATTTTAAGAAAGTTCCTGTTACAAAAGTTGTTTTTCGCGCACAAGCTTCCGTGAGCAACACTGTTCGATTCTAAACCCGTTATGTTATACATAATGTATGATTTTCTTCTTCATTCATGAGTAAAAATTGAAACATGAATCCTGAAAAAATATGCTTAAAAGATGAAATTTTCTAATATCTCGAATATTTCTCATTGTATAACTTCATTTTTCGTGTTCGATTCAAGAGAAAGTATAGCATATCAATAAATAAATACGTTATTTAAGTTTATTTACGGATAATGAATTAGATTATCACTTGAATATGGTCAAAATCACCATTAATGTAAAGATCAAATTCATATGACTAGACGGAAGAACACGATGAAAAATTGTCTAAAGACATAATCAGAAATGTTTGACGGTTTCTTCGTATCTCAATGTGTCCTGATACTTCAATTAAAGCACCTTAGTGTATCCTATGTCTCAAGTATGAATGTACTGAACTTTGCGTCTCGACTTGTTTTGATGTCTCAAAAAATGTGTTTTAAAACGTTATTTAACGCCTCGATGTATCTTAAGCGTACTCGTTTACCGCTGTGTTTTAGTTATCCTAGTCTTTACAAGAGATACCTATTCGATGCAAGAACTTAGAAATGTTTTCTGTTTTTATTTTCATTATAATATTTAATAATAAAAAGAGAGCGTAAATTGTTGTAATGGCGTGTTATAAAAACGACAGTACTTGTTTGTTCCCATCTATAGATTGGAATATCTATAGAATTGGACATGGAATTGGTGCTTGAGAATGAAAAATATGACTGTGTCTTACAAAATGCGTCCAACATTGTTCCGTCTCAATGAAATATATCGGAATTGAGATGATGCAGACACAATTTTGATTCTAGCTATTCAATGGTATAATTTTTGATTAATTAGCATTCATTGTTAAAGAAACAGAGCTCATTAAAAAAATTCCATCTATGAATTAACTTTTTTCCTAATATGCTCGGAAAAGAGTCGATTAAAACTACTCATTATTCATATGAATATATCTGACAAACTAACGTGAATTTACCAGAAATTTTTACATTCATATGTAAACAATAATTGATTCTATCATCATTATTATTAATATCTAATTTTTTTCAGTACAAAACGGTTAAGGAATAAAGAAATTACAGAAAAAAATTCGATAAATGACTGTTTTTTGCCATAGTATTCTATATATATTTACAAAAAAAAGAAAGACATGGATGTCATGAAAGTGAATTGGATAAACTGTTAACATCCGTTATTATCAATAAATAGTCATAAAACAGTAATAAATCGTTCTTTGTTTGATTTAAGTAATACAAGAATTCAACAAAGTAGGATAAGTAAAGATATTTCCAGGAAGGGTATTTTAAAAATGTATTTTATCAGTTAACATAAGATATTTCAAACTGAAACCAAGAAGCTTCCCTCAGTAATATCACATTCTGGTAGGTGACACTTTTCCTAGTATTGACAATTATATCATATTAATTCATTGGGATGTATCATTTGCCTCTGGTATTGATACTTCCGTGTGTAATGATCTATAACTGCCATTTGTTTTTCCACGATGTAAATCTTCCAGTAGCGAAATAACTCGTGATGTTTGTTTTTCTAATGTAATCATTTTTGTTTCTAATCGTTGTACTTTCGCATTCAATGTTAATTGTTCTCGTTGTTTATCAGTTAATACCAGTGGATATGTTTTTGGTAAACCCAATGTTTGATCTAGACGTCGTTGAATTTCGGCCAAAGTATACATTACTTTCAAATTGCCTTGCGCATTTTCATCCATAATATCTTTAAAATCATACGGTTTATGAGCTTGTTGAAATTTTCGTTTAGCAGCATGAAATTTAATCATACGTATAATACGAATAGCTGTTCTTTGTGATGGATGTAAATCTTCAATTTTTTCAACTCTTCTCCATGAACCGTGTTTTTTCACACTATCCATATGTAGCTGAGCACCGATTGATCTTGTTGAATCAATAGCCGTACTTGATCCAGCAAATCGATGACGAGGGAAACGTTTTGATTCTACTCGATAAATACACCTAGAAGGGTAACAAATTTAAGAGTGAATAATATTTTGAGATAGGCAGAAGATTTTTGAAATGAATTTTAGTAATAAAATAGCAGCTTTTAATTTAAAGTTAAAATTTCTTCTGTAATGATTTGAAAATGGTCGTAAAGATCGAAATATCGTCAGAATAAAAATGAATTTTATCTACTATTTTATTATAAGTCATTTGAAAAACTAAAGTTTATTCGAGAAAAAAATTTGTGATAAATTTTACCATGTAGCCGTTAGATTTGGACGACGAGCGGCTACCATGCGCCACCAGTTTTGAATGAGACCAGCGGCAGCTGGCACTAGTCGATTGAACTGTTTTTCACGTTTTTTCTGTTCGACTTTTAAAGCAAAACCGGATCCGATTATACCCGATGGTAAAGTCCAAAATGCTACACCACATATGCATAAACAAGATGTTATCATTTTTCCAACATGTGTTCGAGGACATTTGTCACCGTAACCGATGGTTGCCTAAAAATAGTCATAACACGAATAATAATTACTTGTAACATCTCATTTATCAATTTTAGATATTAGTTTGAGATGAATGATTTCTTACCATCGTAATAATTGCCCACCAAAGAGTATCAGCAAAACTATGAAACATATCATCAGCAGCATTTTTTGTTTCATCTTTTTCGACTAACCATATTAGATATGCAACAACAATTAGAAATATGAAACAAAAATATAATGTTGCTATTAGTTCATAACGATGATCGTAGACCACCGATCCTAATAATCTCCACGATGTCAGACGTCTATCAACATGTAAAAATCTCAATATTTGTAATATTCTTACGTAACGTATCAGTTGTGAGTTAAATTCTGTTCTAACCATTCCTATACATAACAGAACAGCATAACCAATAATTACACATAAATCCACAATACACATTGCTTTTCGCATGAATAACAGACGTCCTCCTCTACCACGATATTTTGATCGACAACCAGCTGACCATATCCGAATAATATATTCAGATAGAAATAAGGTAAATAAAACAAGTTCAATCCAAAATAAAATTTCATAACTTTCTTGAACATACACAGTTAATATTGAACTGTAGACGAGACAAGCGATAACAACGACAAAGACAGAAAAATGATAGAGAAAGCATGTAATACCACATGGACGTTCAAGAAAGTTATATATTCGAGCTTTTACTGGACTATGAAAGCGTCGAGCATGAGTATCGGGATGAACTTGATGATCGCTTAACGGTATTATATCATCATCAATCGATTGTAAATGAGAGTGACTGAAACGATGATGAATAGTTGTTGAAGTATTAGTCACATCATTTGGATTACTATCTAATAGAGGTATTGATGCTTGTGTATGTAATTGGGTCATATTTTCATCTATTTAGAATATGAGTCTAATTTGTTGAGTTACCCAATGGTCAATGTTCAATAGACGAAACGACATTGTTTTATGAAGAAAATAAATATGATATGCTAAAAAGTGAAATCTTGATAAGAGTCGGTTTTGACAGATGCATTCACTTCGTCTACTTTTGATCTGAGAATTGTCTCAATTGCCCCTCACTATCATTTCCTTTGACTTATGATAGAAACCAAGAAACCATTGAAAAATTAATATTTGACGACATAACATGTTTTATATAAACACAAGTGTTCTTTCCATATAACTCATGAAAGTCGTACAGTTACATTATAAAATAAATGTTAGCATTGGTTTCAAGGTGAAAATCGTATACACAATACCTTTTGGTCGTTCACCCAATTGTATAGTATTGTTAATCTTTCTTGTTTTGTTTTTCGTATGTACGTAACCTATCGATAGGGACGATGAATTTAATTTATTTCGAAACGTGAGAAAAAACCAAATTACTTACTTTTTTATTTTTGTATCGTCTTTATTCTTTTTTTTTTTTTCTTGTATTCGTTTTTATAGATTATGTATTATAAGTTCTCGAGTTAAAATTATTTGGGATTATGAGAGACACTTGGTGTGTGTATATGTCGAATTTCGTTTTTTTTTTGCTACACTTTTTGTACAAAGAGAGAAAAGAGTAAAAAAATCCCTCGAAAAACCATAATGCACACAAAAGCGAAACAAAAAAAGAAACAACGAATGGAAATGATTAACAAGTGAAACAGATAGTCTCTATCATGAAGGTAGTTTGATGGTCTAGAGTATTGTGCACTTTGTGATTTTTATTTATTTTTCTTGAATTAAAATCTGTCTTAAACTTCTGCTTTTTTTCTTTTCTGTTAAAATATTTGTCTATTCCAGAACCCATAATAACAAATACAAATAGGTAAAAATAAGTATCATATCCATATTCAGTCATGATTGATAGACGTGTTTTAGGCATTTCGTTGCCATACTAAATAATATTTTTAATAGAAACTGAAAATGTGAATTTATGATGTTTACAAAAGTATTAGTTTTCTTCAAAACTATATATTTAAGGATTTACTTTAAAATTATGAGAGATTCTGTAAATAAAACAACTACTGATCAAAATTTTGATTAACATGTTATTATTCCAATATTTCAAATTTAAAAAATTTATTTGTAAAGTTGAGTGTAGTTTCGTCACCATTAGAACAGCATAACAAAAAAAAAAGATCATTACACACGTTATTTTGTTTCTTTTCTTCGAAATAATGAAGTATATGATTATAAAAATAAAAGGTAAAAGTACCTGTCTTTTGACATATACTGCATGTTGTAATTATTGACAAAAAAGTCATGTTAAACTCGTTTTTAATAAGAGGTTTTTGTCAGTGATAAAGCAACATGATCATCTTGTATGATCACTTAAAAATGGCTTTTCATTCAAAAAGATTTTTCTTGCCCAAATGTACATCTTAGTCTAAAAGGCAGAGAAGGAACATTGGCTAGAGATTTGACAGTTTCTCAGAAGTCTAAATTTTTTAATTGTGAGGATTAGCTTTATTATAGCTTTCATACAATCATTTAGTAAACGTTTCCTTCAAGTTTGGGTTATCGATACACAAATAATATTACACGTAGAAACATCCGTTTTCAGTGGCACCTTTCACTCCAAATCTAGATGCCGTCTCTTTTAGAACCATGCAACCATTTGGCTGTAAGTGACCCATTCTTGTTGAGTTTGTTGGTTTTTGTGCCAGTTTTCGCATTTTATAATAGAATTCATTTTCTGAAAAAAATAAGAAATTTTGAAAACCAGGATAGACGCTGCCCACCTTCCTCTTCTCCGGTAATTACGGCTTCTGTTGTCGTATCAAAAAAAAGTCGTGGACAAATATCCACATTAGTTTTTATATGTTGATAAAATAAATTCCTTATGCCAATTTCTTTTTGTTTTTGAGTTCTGCATTTAAAAATGTACTTTTCTTATCAATTTGTTATTTGTTTAAAAAACTGTCTCTCAAGTGTATAATGGATTTATCTCCATCTGTGATAAATTTTCTAAAATGAATTATAGTGAATTTAAAGAAACATGATTGATTTATCTTCATCTGTCATAAATCTTCTGAAATGAATTATAGTGAATTCTAAGAAACATGATTAATTTAACCTGGTGTACCTGGAGTATTTTATTATAGCAATAATATAAGTGTGCATGCATACCATAGATTGTGGACTTATGTGGGTCAAATGTCACCTATTTTTTGGTTTAACATTTTGTTAAAATACGTGATTTTCAGTTTTGCATCGAAGAATGAATAGAGAAAATAGTTTTTTGGTGCTTTTTAGGTCATGTTAGTTTTTTGTGTTCAAAATAAGATAGGCTTTTGTTCTGCTTGAACGGTTCGGTAAAAATTCGATAGGGTGAGAAGAAGAAAATATTTTGAGTCTCACTTATTCTTAAACTCTGCTACTATGGTGCATAGTAACCTTAGTCTTAGTTCAGCTGTAATATGACATATTTGTTTATTGGAACAAGTACGAAAAAATTAATCGTCCCTATCTAATCAGTGGATACTGACGATCATTATAGTATTGTTGGCAGTGCAACTGGTACATGAATGATGACCTTTCATGACTTGTCCGCATACTATTTAGTTACATTGATTCTTTTGCCACTGAAAAGAATTTTAAATATTATTTAAGTCTCTTCAAATGTTCCTCATGAAACTGTATAATCTTTTACACGTCCGTGTCTACTTCAAAAAAATATTTAAGGTTATTATCACAATTCATCACTTTTCGTGGTTTATAAAACACTTTTACTAACTACTTTGACAATTTTGAGCGAAATAACGAAAATAAAGATTAAAAGAGAAAAAAGAAACTATTGACGATTTATTACCATAGTAGCACTGAAGTAGTTTAGAAGAAACAAACAGTTTATATAAATAAAACGTTATTTTTGGATAAATTTTATGCATAATATTATAAAACATGAAAAAAAACGGACCAAAAATAAAAGAGATCGCAAAAAATTCCATTATGATAAAGATTTAACTTTGTAGAGAACGATAATTACTTTCAGTTATGCTCAATCCGTTGCAACACCTAATTTTTCTCAGAAGAGAAAATCTATAAACCAAATAAAAACTTAGTCCATTATTGTGCGACCTTATCTAAAGAGCTTTCTGAATTTAAGCTTGAATCTAAG